TTCCTGTCCAAACACACATACGGTGAGACACATCTACATGATTACTTCTATTCCTACAGAAGGTTCTGTTAGCATTTACAGGTGATTTCCAAGTACTGATAGAATTCTTTTGTCAAAAAGGACTGTTCTTCACACGTAAATAGGCTGAATTAATATCCTGAAACGTGAAGTCTACATTGAATGATACCATGCCGAAAGGTACGGCATCTAAATCAAGTAGACCGTTTGTGTAGATGACATTACCCTTCAACTATCCTATCTTTCTCACTATAGCGATATTTTGCTACAGTTCGTCTGAAACACTGATCGTTGCAACAAATATGCTAGGGGGTGTCGCAGTCAGATTACATGACGCGGATACCAAAATAACAGGCCAGAAAATGGGAATTCTCATCAATCCATATAACATATAACGCAATTTCATTAAAAATTATTGACAAAAAAAAATTTCCAAAGGAAATTTTAACAGCGCTACTAGAACATGGCATTTAACGTCTACCGTATTTCTACTCTGTTGGGCTGGAGTATCCTTCTTATGGTTTTTAACAATTTTTGGTGTTGTGGCGTTATCAGGTGAAGCGCTGCACGGGACTATGTTGAGATAGAAAAGTGGCGTGCAGTTTCTGCTATCTCGAGACACGCTGTATTAGACTGTGCCAGGGCGACGAATTAGGCGAATGTACCAGAACCACGGGCTCGGGTTATTTCGCATAAACTCACAATATGGTTTTGACACCCCTTTGTCACAAATGCAGTGCACCCATCGTTTGCAAAAACTGCATTCAAATGCTGAATCAGTTTTAGAAACGACAACACTGCAGGCCTGGCATTCGTCTCCTTTTATAGAGAGCGCTTTCAAGGTCTTATGACATCTTGAGCGTTTCTTGTTTTGCTGTGTGTCACACACTCTCTTCTAACAGATATAGGTGTAGTACCATGTCCACTTGGTTTTGCCTGTGTCGTTTCAGTGCTAGACGGCAGCATTGTGGGCACAATGTCAGAAAGGGGGAAATGTACACAGGTCTTTAGAATCGGTATGCGAGATGGGGTTAATGTCCCTGAGTTATTGCTTCCTCTGGCTGAAACCCTTGTGACTACAGAATATGGTGTTTTAGTACCTTTTTAGGGATACTTTCAACCGCCACATTAACAGTTACTATAACTTATGCTTAAATATGAATAAGAAATAGCAACGGTATCTGCCCAATAGGCCAAGAACAAAAAGATTGATGAAATACAAGATATGGAGAATAAAAGGTTTTCCACTTTACCTAGTACTATTTGGTTACTCGGCTTCACAGCAATCACGTGGCAGACCAACAATCTTGTTTATCTGAACGAATGGGGAAGATGCTGCTACAGATGCATCACTTGAAGCTTTGGCAGTAATTCGAGACGGCTGGACTTACCGCACAGAGATTTGATATGGAAGTAATGGTGGAATTTAATTCATCGACTAGGAAGATCAGGTTTCGCAAGCGGATAATTCACAAAATGGGTATTTTCCGGTTAGAGAGGGAAAAGCACGTTGTATTCAAGGAGCTCGCCGAGGAATGACTGTATGACCAAATATATGGTACCTGTTTTCACTTACTAGCTAAATGATAATTACTATGATGCCGAATCGTCGAATCTAATAAACAACCAAAGTATATCCTGTATCTTCGCCAGGTAAAAAATTGCCACTTTTTCAAAGGACTTATCTCACCTGAAACCATGTTGTGTTCCGTTCAGAGTGTTGTTACTGTCAAGCTGTTGCTTGATATGATCATCAATAAGATTTTTCTATAACTTTGATGGTAATAAGAGTATCGCTACTGGTATACAACTCACTGTGTTATGCCGATTCCCACCATAGAAAACTACGGAAAAATTGGTTGGCTATCTTCCACTTTTTGGATAGTTTATCCGAGTCAAGAAGGCGTTGAAACAGGTTACACTGAGGACTACGAAGTGCTTCTGCGCACCATTTGAGAGCACATGGTAGATTGTCATCACAACTGGAGGAATTTCCCGAACAGGGATTTTGCAGTGTTGCCAGAAACACAGCGGGGTTAATGTGGATCACACCAATTAGGTTTCCCCCCGGTAATTTAGTAATGCTACTCTTGCGACCCGCACCAGTATCACCCATGGTGCTGTTTAGCTGTCTTTCAAAGGCCGAACCAATGGTTTCAGTCATTCCCAAACTAGTACGACACTGACCATTTAGACCTTTAATGGCATATACCCCCTTATTAAGAGATTCTCTTCCCGACACGAATTGGTGGGGGCTTTTGGAGACTGCCAAGAGTTTTCTGGCAAGATTTGCTTGAAGCGACCTCTTGTCACTCTGGACCTTTGTGTTACTTCATGGTTGTTCGCGGTATTGGAAAGTTACCATGTAAGCCAGGCTTTTCGCTTGGCTTGCAGAATATGCTGTGGGCCTCTTCCCAACCATGGGGATCGCTCCATAGTCTATAGTGTGACTAGAAGGACTGTATTTGAGGTCATTGTGTGGATGATTTCCCTCACCATTTCCCACTATTACTATGTTGGTAGCTCAACCCAATCTGTAGGCCATTCTGCATCAAAAAATAGTCTTCGAATTTAGTCAGTTAAAGAGAACTCTCGCAAACTTTCGAAGAACACCAAATTGTCATCCAGTGCACTACATGGTTTTCAGGGTACCTCTGGCATACTGTAAGCCACCTTACAACAAAGAAGAGATTGGTAAAGTCCAGGGACAGCGAGAAACCCAACGATGCTGTTCTCATAGATTTTATCGCGTCTCAGGACAAAGTGCCTCACACAAGGCAGCCCATGAACATGAAAAGTTTTAGGATAAAGAGCAGCCTGCCTAAATTAAAATGAGGAATTCCTCGCAGGTAAGAGATTCAGGATAGACTCCAACCCCTCTCTCTGGAAAACGTTATCACTGTACTTCTCCCTTCTCGTTTTTGTCCTGTGTACTAACGAATTACCTGTGCCCACCAAATCGCCCAGGTTTCTCCATGCATCTGACGTAAAAACAAGGAAACAGACTAGGGATGACAGCGAAATGGTTCAGTTGTGAGATCCCCAGAGTCTCTTGCATTGGCCCAAGCACTGGATGCACTCAAGCAGCAAAGCGAAGCGTGTAAACATATGCGTCTGGCATGCAAGTGAGAGCGCATGCGACATGGTAGAGAACTACGGCACAATGGCGCAAACTGGTAGCTCGCAGGTTAAGATCGATTTGGGCTATACGGAGGGCTCTTACCAGGAGCATGATACCTATATCGAGTGAGTGAAATTTTGCCGAAAACCTTGTGATTTTGTCAATGACTCCAAGGCTATGGGAGATTGTCCTGCCGGCAGGCATTAGTGGCAAACATCGCCTGTGGCAGTAACCACCTACTTTACATCCGCGATGTAGTCAACAAAACCCGGTACTTGCTTAGTACAGGTGCCGCAGTCAGCGTCCCTCCTGCTACAGGGGCAGATAAACATAGAGAGTCTACCTTCAACTTACAGGCTGCGAATGAAGAGCCTATTGCAACCTTTGGTAGGAATTACATCTACCTGAACGCAGGTTTACGCAAACCTATTCAGTGGATCTTCCTTAATGCTGACGTCACAATGCCTATCACTGGCATGGACATACTAAACCAACATGATCTACTTGTAGATGTACGTCGACAACGACTAATAGACAGTGTTACTAGACTGTTCATTAAAGGCGTCACCAACGCAGGTCACAGCTTGTCACTGATGAAGAAGGCAATCTCTGATCCAACGTTTTTTCGATGTTCTATTTTTCGTATTATTTTGCTGTATGGTAGATGTATACCATTATTCAAACTTTTTTGGTTCTCAGTATTCTTGCTTTCTTTTCCAGGTGCGATGAGCACTGAACATGAAGCAAACGAAGCACGAGATCGAACGGACGAACATCAACTATGCAATGCATGCGCATCCAATTGGCATAGGTAGACAAGCAGTAGGCAATTCGTCTGCTCAAATGGAAGCGATTTACTAATGGCACCGCCATCAGGGTTTTACTTCTGGTTGGTTTCGTCTTAGGGTCCTCACAACCCCACTAGGGAGGAGCGAGCAGTAGCGGTAGGTAATTCCCCAGAATTATTAACCACAGCATTCATCACTGAACACTGGACGCTGACCCTAACTGTTTAAGTCAACTTGTTTAGCGAAAGGCTTAGGGTCAAGCATCCACGCCATTTGGCATACCGTCGTGTTACGTCCTTTTGTTCGCTCGTGTACGCTCTCTAGCTAGTTAAGCAATCAACCTCGCACTACGATTTGGTCCCAAAATATACTCCGTAATTTGGATGATCAATTTTGGTATTTTGCTTTGCTTTAGATTTACGCGGAACGAATACTACAGAAGTTGGGGGTACTAGATTTTGCGTTAGTATACATCGGACACTGCGTGGAAATTAACACCCTCAGCCTCTAAATGTCTGAATAGCTTCTAAAGGTGAGTTCATTAGTCTTGTTACCTAAAAGCCGCTCCGCGAATCACAGTTTGATGAAATTCATTGTAGATGTAAATCCAGCTTCAGTTGTCACCGGAGGATTCGATGAAATCAAAAGGTAATATAAAAATTTTCATTTAAATTAGGGGTTTATACGACAGATGGTCTCTCGGGGGAGTTCCAATCTAAATAATGCGTTTTCTCTCCAATAGATGACTTGCATATCTCGCAAATAAATCATTTGTGCACAGCGGTTCGAGGGTGATGTCTGTCTTTACCTACAGAACGACATTAGGAACCACAGATTCTCCAAACACTAGTAACTGCAAATACCATTGATTTCGCCTTAAAAAAGCCCATCAAATTGAAGTGAAGTTGAAATTGGAGCTATTAAGAAGACAAATTATGCGGTTAACATATATGTGGTGGATTTTAATCTAAAACTAAATACAGTTACCTATTGGACTAATTTTGTTTTACTGCTTGGAATCTACACATATAATGTTGGCAGTCTAACTCTCACCTTTTAAATTTCTTTGTGAGTTTCTGTAGTTAATGGTTCTGAGTACTCAATTATATTTACAAAATGTTAAAAAGTTAGCAATGCTGAAAAATGAGAACTTGTTTATGCATGTACTGTAGTTTGATAAGTATCTTTGATTTGTGAACTCAACTTTTCGCGAATATATAAAATAATATACTCATAAGTACTGATTAATGCATTACCAGTGATGTAGTATTGTTGAGAGTTTCACAGAGAGTGTGAAATATTTCATTTTTTGCAAAACTAGGCGTTCACACTTTTGATATATGTGTTGTTCTTTATCACAACTGTGACTTATAAGGAACATTAAATTATAACAACTGAGTTATTACGGCTTCACCGAAAATCATCTCGATTTAGTTTAATGAGGATTCATAAGAGCTTATCAACTAATTGACATCAGTTAATGCCTAATTAAGGGAATGTACTTTACTTGGCATCTCACTTCCAATCAAAATATCCTGCATACCAGTTAGTATAAACCAAACAGGGTTCGCTTTTGTTGTTCAGTGCTTATTTTAAGTGTAGAACTATTTGATTATAACATTCCCAGTTGAATATATTCACACATAGATGGCATTAATATAAATCTTCGAAAATATCGGTGCATTTTGTTAAGACATTTATGAGAAACGTAAACCGGAGACTCCAAATGACTCTCCTGCACATGAACAGTGTGCACAGGCACACGGTTTAGTCTAACACAAAGCTTGAACAACTTTTTGAAGTTATCCTTACTTTCTTATTTTGCCTATTATGATTTCCCGTGATTTTAAGTTCTAGTTAATTTTAGTGTCTCTTACTGAGTCTGTATTTTAGCTCCTTTAGATTTTCATAAGATGCACATGCAATCTGAAATATATACTTAGACAGATCTGTATCACTTTATTGTGTGAATGTTCTACAACTAATAACGCTACGTTAACGTGTATTTAGCCAAGTGCAAATAACAGTGATTATTTTACTAGTTCTTGAGGTGTAGAACCACTTTGACTAATTCGGATCCCTGAGGATCTTGGCAGGACATATTTTCAGTGGTAATTTATGTACACTGTGCACGACGCTTTAGCTAAGGCCCTGACCACTTTCTGTCTCAGCTTTCTTCTTGAAATGATAGTTTTGTTTACAGATAATGAGCTTTCCATAAGACGTCTTCATATGTCAACTTACAAACTTATTTGTGTATGTATTACAAATAGATTTCCACCAAAACCAAACGTTCAATAACTTTCTTTGTTCATGGAAATAGTTGGGAAGGCATGGTACTCTGCAGGTTTGCTTACAATGTCATAAACACTTTGAAGTTTTGAATGTGGTGACCAGTAAAGTTCTTTGTCTTGTTATCTAACTAAATTATCGGCTATTTTATTGAAGAAGATTGCGTTTGTTGATTGTATTAAGCAATTTTGTAAGCTAAGATATTAGTGAATTAGGTCCTTTCCAGTATAGCCATCATCTAGAAATGTTATTCTGCATATGTGAGCTTGTGATTACTCCTTGCTTTTTGTATTAGCACAGCACTATGATCTCTCAAAGAAAACATTTTCTTGATTATAAAATGCAGACTAGCAAACAGTTGTTTGATTACCCTAAGACGGTTATGTCGTCGTTTTAAGGAGTTGGGACTACGACTTGCATTTAACCCTACCATGCTGAAATAAACGTATTTTCTTCATGTTCTTTGAAATGGTTACGGCATAATAAGAATTATCAGATGTCACTCTTATCTTTTTATCACTTTTTTCATCTAGGCTTCTAGTGCTGTTTAATTACAGTCATAATCTGTCTTTTTAACATTTGCTGCAGAACAGTGCGTAAGAAGATTATTAGAGCATATTTTTTATCAATTCGGGTGGCAATATCCGAAAAGACAGTCTATGTCTTTCCATATTTGTTAGTGATACTGCCGATGGATAAGATTAGGTTTCACTCTCGTCGACTGACAAGTCTGTGCAAAATTTTTATACGTCGATGCATTCATCATCTAAATTTGCACATTCCTTAATAAAAGCATGATGGTAATAAAATAGAAAAAGGTGTGTGACAGGGAGAATAATTTTTATGAGCACTACTGAAAATGTTCAGAACTCTGGCCATAAGGAGTGGACACATATGCCACATCCCAAATAATTTCGGCTATTTTACCGAACCTTTGGAGTTATTAGCGACTCCTACTGTCGTTTATTGAATTTCTTAATACAACTGTGTGTCTATGTGTAGAATGGTAAGATAATAAAACCTTCAAGATTCTCATTGTACAGTTTTTGGATAGCAGTTATCACTTAGTGAAACTACGATAAGATTTATTCTGATATGTTTAATCCCTTTTCTATTTATTATTATCGTCATCGCGAATAAGTGCTACAGTTTTTCCTATTAAATGTATTTTCTTATTCTTGTTACCCCTAGCTGAATGTCTCATAGTGAGACAGATGAAAAATCATTATCAAGGAATTTTATTCAGCTGAAAGATTACGATGAGAATGACTTAAAAGTACGTATCATGCAGTGGAATATGCTTGCCCAAGGTAAGTTTTACATTTCCAAATGTAATTCTTCTTTACAATACAGGCTTTATTCCACTAGATGAATTTGTCTATTGTCCAAGTAAATTTCTATCACTTGAAAGGAGATGTAAGAAAATCACTGATGAAATCCTACATTATAAACCAGATATAATTTGTTTACAAGAAGCTGATATTATTACAGATATAATAGACCAACTCAATAGAAATAATGAAAAAGTTACTTATAGTTATTACTTTCTTCCAAAACGATTTTCACCTTGTCTATTTATTGAACACAATCAAGGACCTGATGGACTTGCTGTAATCTATCGGTAAACTCTACTGCATCCCTTTTTTAATATCTTCAACAAATAGGGCTGATCTCTATGAACTACTGAAATCAGAAGAGATTCCTTTGGATGATAACAATTCACGTTATGCACTTTTTTGTCATTTTAAACATAAAAGTGTTGGTGATGCGCAAAAAAGGTATCCAGATATCTACATAATTTGTCTTCATTTAAAAGCTAAGGAAAGTTGCTCTGAAATAAGATATCAACAAGGAAAAAAGCTTATGGAGTATTTATTATCATTCATTAAACGTATGTCGTGTAACTCTGTATCAGTTATAAACAGTCCAATTTTTGTTTGTGGAGATTTTAATGCTGAACCTGAAGAACCAGTGATTAAACTTTTACAAAATTTTTCTTCTTCTGCTTGTAATACATCTTACAAGCTAACAAGTGCTTACAATACAGCATGTGACGGTAAAGAACCAGAATTTACCACGTGGAAAATTAGAAAAAGTGAACGAATTACAAAGCTTACAGAAGTTTGTCATACCATCGATTATATTTGGTACTGTGATCGTTTATGTAACCTTCTAGGAGTTTGGTCTATTCCATCTAAGGATGAAATTGGTCAACATGGTCTTCCAACGACGATATTTCCATCGGATCATTTGAATTTGATTGCAGATTTTAGTCTACCTTCATGTCAGTGATAGTGTAACGTTCACTTCACAGGCCATCGTTATGCTTTAAGAATCCTAACCTGAATCCTTCATGAGTTATCGTGCAGTTAATATTTCCATTATGTTATCCTTAACTACGTATATTTATCCGTATGTGTGAGATGTGAACAAATATTAATGGATGACATTTTAACAAAGAGCTTATGACTGTAATAAAGTTTGTACATATATCTTGATCAATTGTTTCTCTATAATTTATTAGGATTGAGTCATCAATTATGGTTTTAAATCAAATTTGGATTAAATTTTGATATGAATTGTTCTTCTTTTCTCATAAAGACTAATCATTTTAAATTTCAGTCAAAGTGAGTGGGTAGATCCACTACAATTACACTATTATTATTGATTCCTTGCGTCCCTAGTGAAACATGAACCTTCAACTGCATACCTTACATTACTTTCAGCTGGCCCCGTGACTCCCCAAAAGCTTTGATGCCCTACTCACTTGACTTTCCCAGTGTCAACCTGGGAATCATGCCCAACTCCTCGCTGCTAACCTGGGTTACAGTCGGCTGGCTGCCTGGCGTGTAATGTCAATAGGATGTCTCCTCAGAATATTTCTAATCCATTTCCATCTGCTGCTACCTATTCGTTGGGTCAGCCAAAGCTTCTCGTCTAGTTTGCTGCCAAAGTTCCTTGTTGCTCATGCTTTGTGATCATGTGATCTTCAGTATCGAGCGAGGACAGATGTTGATTAAAGTTCACAGCAGCTTATTGAAAGTGCTTTTGGTAATGCATGCCAAACTGAAGCACTGACCGACTTGACATCTTGTTCCTTGTAACAAGTGCTGCAGATCTCAACACCAATTTCAGCGTAAGGAACACCTGTCTTACTTTCTTCATGTTTTGACATTCTCATCCACACAATCTGTGGTTAAAACGATACTACTTTGGTCGGGTAATTTAAGGAGCCATCATCCAATAGATTTCTCCCATTCATAGTTTTTAGTGTTTGCTGTTGTTGATCAAGTATGTTCGTCACTTCTATTTTCTCTATATTCATTTGAATTCCTGAATTCGTCTCCTTGTTCTTCTAAGATCTTATTGTTTTTCGATTGCATATTTTCGAGTTTATGAGACATAAGACGAAATCCACATCTTCTAAGGTATTTTTCTTTGTCCAACGTGTGTCTATCCTGTCAATGCAGACACTCCACTGCAGTATCCGGTCAATCACAATAAGGAAGATCATTGCTGACAGTAAGCAGCCCTGCCCTGCTTTACTTAGCTTCCCATTGTGAATTATTTAGCTTGTAGCATTATCATTATAGCTACTGAATGAGGTTTATAAAGAATTTTGCATTGCACTGTGTAAAATTGAAGCTTGGTTGTCGAATTAATTTGCGGTCGTTAATACTGAAGGAATTTTCAAATTTGGTGAAGTTGAGTTTAAGAGCTGATTACGATTCTAGGCTCTGTTCAGTGATGAAGTGTAGTGTGTCATTTTGGTCTGCGCATGATTCACCTTTCTGAAATGCAAACTGTTCCAGGAGAAGTCATTCCATCCAGTCTTTCTAAAATGGGGCGGCCTAGAACTTTGCTTAGAGTGGACAGTTCTGTATGGGCTTAATTCACCTACCGCAAAGTGCACGTTACAACATGCTAGTAAATATCAGCACAGGTTGGATGAACTAATTCTAACCTTTAAAAGTACATTGCTTATAATTTAAACCTGAATACCACAGAAGATATTGATCGCTACAACTGAGAACTGTAGGATATACTCCTGTTATCGTGAGCATTTGTTATCACTACCTTATCATTGAATAGTAGTCAAACTTTAAGTTACAGACGATAATAGGTCACTTTTGTCTTCAGAAGACGACTATAGTAAGAGAGAGAGTGTAGAGTTGCTTGACATTGTAAATGGAACTACAGCAATGACCTCTAGTTCTTTTTAAAGTCACTAAATAAGACTCACCACTCATAGGATCACTACTTTTGAATCAATCCAGTATGGGGAACGGGTAACTTATACCAGCTTTCATATTGTTAGAGGTAATTAGTGAGTATGTTTCACTGCTTACTTACATTTTATAAAGCTCCTGGAAAAAAAGATAGCATATGTTGACCATAGAACAAAATATTGAACAGACCGCTTGATTTTTTGTACATCTACATATGCCTTGATTGAAGGTGTGCAACTAATTTATTTTGAGAAGTGTGAAGAAAGGAATACGTTAGACCAGCAAGAAGACCTTAGGAGATTTGGAATCCGCAGACGATTTATGCATAATGACACACAAACTCGAATGTCTGCAGACTGTAACTAGTAAGTCTGAAGAAAACGCAGTGAAGGCAGGACTTCAAGTGAACATAGGGAAGGCGGGGGCGATGAAAATTCCTAACTGAAAACAGCAATGACAGCAAGCACCAGTCACCATCAACGGCAGAAATTTGAAGGTAGTTAATTTTTCCACTTGTCTAGACAGCAACGTTTAAACTACAGGCGGTTATCGAGGATAGGAAAGGTGAAACTGACCTTCATTACTCAACACTCAGCATAAAGAACAAGATTGGGGCTCTCAACACAAAGGCCACTTCAGTTAGTGCTTCTAGATGGCTTACAGAGCTAGTGCAAACGTAACCAAACTTCATTGTTGCTTATCCTTTCCCGCCGGCCATCTGATTTTCAGTATCGAGGCGGCGATCACAACTATTGATGCAAGTCTGTAGTAACCTGTTGCAAATACTTGTGACAAGTCTTTGAACCATGTGGAAGCACTCATGATTGACACTAGTGTTAATTAAAATGTTAGCATACCACTGAGCATTAGCCACAAGTCGTTTTCTAATCCTTCATATCATAAGGAATGTATAGTTGCTTTCTTATGCATCAATAACATAATATATTAAAAGTATTGATTAGAAATAATATGAATGTCTGTGTTCCACGTTATCAGGATTCATTTGAAATGACCTTGAATGCTAGTTAGTGCATCAATAAAATAAACTAGTACTTCTTAAGAAAGAATATAAGCATCATAAGTACTTCTTAATTGATAGCTAAGCTAAAATTCGCTAAATGTTTTAGCCAATCTGTATCATACTGATAGCATTTGTACTAAAAGCCAAAATAATTTTGAGAGTTAGTGAAAACCTAAAGCTTAATGTGTATAAGTAATTGATTCAAACTGGTTTATGCCTTTCTAGTGACTATCCAAAAGATGAAACCTTCAATTTACTGAGAAATCAACTTAGCCATGAAAATGAAACCCAACGATCTATGGTAGAAGTGACTTCTATCAGTTTGCTAGATAAAATTAATGTCATCCAATATCAAGGATTAATAATTAGGATGAAATATTTGCCCAACTCACTAGTTGCCTAAGACTGACCAAGTCATCAGTGAAGAACTTTCAAGATTTTGAGAAATATCACCAACAGCCACCACCCACTGATTCCTAATGTTTGAAATACCCCAATCAGGCAGCTCACACCTCCCTATATAACCCAAGCCAACATTCAAAGACTCCATGGCTTGATGCCGTGTTTGCATCTGACCACACCCACAATTCATTTCGGCATTAACAACAGAATACGATATATCTGACTGAAGATTCTATTTGATATTAGAGACAGAATACTTTTCCCACGGTTATATACTAACTGCACTAACAAAAGAATACTTACGTATATTTGAACATTCTACTTCATGTCGTCTGATGTAAACTGAAATCACACGCTCAGTGATTGGTTAGCGAATATAAACTGTCGATGTATAAACAGCGGTGTGATGAATGAAAAATATACCTTGGCTCCCGTGTCTTGCTTTCTGTTGCTACAGGTGTCCCCGTTTCCGTTTTGTTAAAACTTATCAAAGCAACTGAATATATATGATAAATAAAAAGGATTGTTACAGGTTATTTAGTACTAACACATAGTACGTATTATTATTATTATTTCCTTTAATTCCTAGAGTAACATAGGGCTTCAGCCGTGCGTCTCCATTGCGTTCGGTTCTCTGCTAGAGTCGTCACCTGGCTCCAAGTCTGCCCACATACTATCATCTCCTCTTCACATGACCTCCTCCAAGTCACCCTTGCACTGACGACCAACTCGCCACTTCCCTTTCGGGTTCCACTCGAGCGATGGCTTGTCTAGTGATGTCACTTGATGGATTGTTTTCTCAGAGTATGGCCAATCCATCTCCATTTCTTCCTGCCTATTTGTTGCACAATCGGTTCCTGGTTGGTTCGCTCATTGCCAGAGATCTGTGTTGCTGATCTTTTCTGGCCATCTGATCTTGAGTATTGAGCGAAGACAACTGTTAAGGAAGGTCTGTAGTTTGTTTGATGTGCTTTTTATGACGCGCTGGCCAAGTCTCTGATCCGTTTGTTAAGTAGCACTGACTTCACATCGGAGTTGAAAATCTGGAACTTATTTTTCATGCTGAGTGCTGCTGATCTCCACACAGACTTGAGAGTAATGAAAGCTTACCTTCCTTTTCCGATCCTCGATACTTTGATATCCTCATCAGTTCTGTCCGCCTGTAGTTGAAACGAAGCTTCCCAGGTAGGTAGGTAAAGGAGGTTGTTTTTTTGAGGTTCCTGGAATTTACGCTGATTGTTGTCTGTTGTTGTTGCTGTTGCTGTTTCCCAGGAATCTTCATCACCTCTGTTTTCTCTATGTTCACCTGAAGTCCTATCTTGGATGCTTTTTCTGCCAACTTGTTGCTTTTCACTTGCATATCTTCCAGTTTGTGGGAAGTCAGACATATATCATCGGCGAAGTCCAGATCCTCCACAAATTTGCAATAAGAAACGGAGATGGATTGGACAAACACACTGAAGAGAAGGTATTCAAGTGACGTCACACACCAGGTACTTATTGCCTTGAATGGAATCAGAATAGAAGGAGACGAACGAAATGGATGTCAAGTGGTGATATGAGGAAGATCATGCAAAGAAGGAATAAAAGTTTTTAAACCGTAGTGGGGCAAGTATAAACTGAAATCAGCGAACAGAAGACAACCAAAATGTCCTACTTAAGCCTCAGGCTCCTCCTGAAATCCAAAGCCTAAATATATAATATTGTTATTGATTGTTGTTATCATTCCCTTATATTGAGATTGGAACAAATGGCTTCAACAGATCATCTCCATTTCATGCAGTTTTCTGCAGTCACCTTCAGCTGGCTCTACAACCACTAGTAAGCTTTCTTCTCCCCGCATATGAGATCCTCCATATCGGCCTCGAACTTATGCCCAACTCATTGTTTCCCATTCGGGTTCTACTCGAC